CGATCAGAGAACGGCAAGGACGACTGCCCCTCCTACGAGACCCACTGCGCCAAGCGGTATGGCCCAATGCTCTGCACTGTCAGCTGACCTGCAATACACGCGGACATACACGTCATTTTGAAAGAGGGCGAGCCAAAACAGAGAAAACTGGATTCAAGCTAAGTCAATTTAACCTTTATAAATGCAGTGGCCGAGTCATTGTATAATGGGTTGGAAGAATAATGGCTCAATTCATTGTAAAGTGTTTGGAAGCCCTTCCTAGTAGGCTGGAAGCATTCAAACGACCCTTACAGAACTTATATCGATTGTGTGAAGCCTCGGTACACAATTTGCCTTCTTTGGCGCCTGCTGTTGCACAATTTGTTGCTGTGACACCAGGTGTTTCAAACAGGGGTCTTTCTCTGTGGTAGAAAACTGGGCTGCCTTGAAGGGGTCCCAGGTTCGAACCACGGTGCATTATGAATAGGTTTTATTTTGTTTTCCTGTGATACTAAATATAAAGACACTCTTGGCTAATGTTGCCGTCACCGTAATGCCCTGAATATGTATATTTATGTATAAAACTATAAAGTGCATAAATAAAAATACTTCTGAAGAAAAAAGTGTAATAAACCCGACCTTTCACGTCTCGGCACACTGCTTTAACCAACTAGGCCATGCCGCTTATGCTGTCCATCACACTAACAGCGACCTATGCATATACATAATTTTCCACTGGCTTACTGTCCATGAACTTACAAGGAACATTCTTGAACAAAGCATGTACTTTGTTTCGACAAGCCATACATGATTTCTCTAGGCGTTGACGTGTCCGATGTGTGATCAGGGAAGGGTGGGTTCACTGAAGCACATACAACTGGATGAAAGCAGCATTCCAAAATATCTCTGGTGCCACTTCCACTTCGAATGAACATAAAAAGTTGTTCACATAATGTCCAGGACTATTCCGGAAGTTGATGGTCTCGTCGTGCCTGTGAATACATCTACTATCAAAATGCACAACGCCACTGTCGCTTTAGGCGTACAAAGTCAACTCGCTTCTTCAGATGAGTTGTGGCGATGATTGCGCCGTTAAAACATTGTACTACTTGAACATCGCGGAAACTTACAGCTCACCGGAAAACTTGCTAAGAGACGTCATGAACTTCTTGCTGTACAACTTTCGTGCGGTGTGCCTACAGGTTGTGCTGGTTATAGTCGGTATAGAATTTACCGTAAATGTGCTTTAATGTGAAAACCAGTGGCTTGTAGCGCATATCGATGCCGATCTTGGAGTTCGCCTCCAGTCGGACGTCACGCAGTCAACTATTCACAACACCTTTTTAGATGAGCGACTTGTTGGGTGGGTTGGTTCATTCTTAACGTAGCCTATGGCGCGAAAAAAAACACGAGAAAAGGACAAGCTCAATTATGTCCTCGTGGTTTTTTTTTCACGCCATAAGCTACGTTATCTCTTTAGATAATTGTGGTTAAGGCATCACTGTTATTTGAAGCACAATGGACCGTTTTCAATACATTTTGTATGAGTCCTACATATCATGAACTTACTTCGTATAAAAGTCTGATGTGTTGCTATCGCATTCATTGGTTATTCGTTGTGCCGAAACTGTGACTTATTTTTTGTCTTGTGCGGTTGTGTTTGCGGACACCAGTGGGGGCTGCGAACAACTACGCCACACTTGCTGCGATCTGAAAAACAAAGAAGCTGTCAACAACTAGCCTAGCGGGTGTGTACCAAGAAGCTCCTGCCACATTATAGCCATGCACAGTAGAGTATAGTAAAGCCACCACGTTCGCGATCACACTAGAAGTGACCCATGAGTTCAAAAAGAAACGAAATTTATAAGCTAATGACGCGTGCTGCCATATGAGCGCAGTTTTTGCGCCCCCCCCCCCTCCTTTGTGTGAAAGGAAAGAAAGCGTTTGAAGCTCCCGAAAAATTCTTGTAACTTTCATCGTACAACAAAATCCGTCAAGCTATAAATTTCTATAGTTACGTCAGTGGATGTTTACTTGAAGTGGATGCTTACTACTGAAGTGCTGCAAAAGCACTTCTGTCAATGGTTTTTTTTTCGTGTGAAAATGAGGTGTAGATGCACATAGTGCATTTGTGTAACACGTTTTTTTTCGCCGACGATTCTTGACATTTCAGCAGAGCTCACGATTGTTCTTTTTCATGGAACGCACGACACATTACTTATTTCTATTCTTGTTCATTTTATTATTCAGTTTTTATTGTATATTTAATTAGTAACTTAGCCCCCACTTTTTTGCCTCGTAAAGTTCGTACTTTACGCTAAGTTGTATTCAGATTCTAGAGAGAATTATAAAAAGTGAGGAACAGTAGGTGGCAATCATCGGGACCTTTTACTGCAATGAGCACTGATATTGTTAGATTCGAAGAAGCGTATGATTTGAGCTCAGTTTGGTGCGCGTGTCCACCATTACTTCGCAGCTGGCCCAAGCACTGCCTGAACGCACTCAAGCGCTGGTGAGTTCGGGCCTGCGTAAGAGGCTGTGGTCTCTCATTACCATCTCTCAGCAATCGCGCGATGGCGTCGGTGTACGAGGCTCTGCAGAGGAGCAATGAACCCACGTGATCACGCGTGGTGTTAACATTTTGGTACGAGTGACATCAACAGTAACTACCGTGAATTCATGGTGTGCTCTGCTTGCAAGGACGAGTTAACATCAGGCAATGTGTCCGTGATGAACGGTAATTCAAGTCGACTCATGCGCCACTCCGCATGCTACTCAAGGTTCCCTTTAGTGGGAGATGGTGTTAATATGTTACGCACCTCTTGTTGTCTTCTGATCTTTTTTTTCTCTTTTTCAATAATCCTCCCGTTCCAATGAGCATTCTCTGCTTGCTCTGTCATTGTACTGCCATTGTTTTCAGCAATGCGCCTTTGCTTAACTTGCGCTAGTTTCCTTTTCACTTCAAAATTCTTGAACTTTTAGCAAATTATTCCCTTCACATGAATGAGCAACATGTTTTTGTCCAAGATATTTTCCGCAAGAAGTAATAGATAGAATGAAGCCGCCATCGCATTGCTCTGTACTTACGATGCCGCTGCAGAAACAAGAAAAAGAGACACACGTATATACTTACCGTATATAGATTGTTGGATAACAAATTTGCATGTGACAGAATGCTTACGTTCGGAGAGTGGGCGTTCGTCGGGTTGTTCATCTGCAAATCATCGACATGCTCAGAGTACGTATCCTGTTTGCATTGTTAGCAGCTATGGTTCAACATCATTATCAAAATTATCACCATCATCCTGACTGTGCCCCGTGTAGGGCAAAGGCCTCTCCTATCTTTCGCAGATCAACTCGATCTTCTGCTTTCAGCTGCCACGTTATAATGAAAAGCTTCTTAATTCCATCGGCCCAATCTCAATTATTTTCCTCCCACTCATGCGTGTACCTTCTCTTGAAATGCAGTCAGCTACCCTTAAGGACCAGCGGTTAAACTGCAGACGCCATACGTGTCCGGCCAATGTCCAATTCCTCTTTTTTTTTATTTCAACTATTGAAGGTTCAACGGTTTGAAGCGAAACTTGGTGTAGCGTTTACTTAAGTGAACTTTTGTTAGATACGCAAAAACATGGTTGGGTTTGGCGTTAGTTTCATCGTAGACAAACGATCCGAAAAGGTGTTTCCACTCGATGTGCGGTCCAGCGTTACGGGCAATGGAGAAGGTGAAGCGAGACAGAAGTGTGTTGCGAGTAGGTGGAGGAGCCAGCCGCTGCGGATGCTGCGGTGAGCGTGCTGTGGGTGAGAGGCAGTGTGACGTCAACGCACACCTGTGAGAGAAGCGTGCGAGAGGAGCGTAACATCAACGCGCAGCTGTGACGTGACGTTCAGCTCCAACAACTGCAGCCAGGGAAACGCGCTGTGGCGTGTTCGTACTGACGCACGTACGTACGGCGTTGTACACGTGAATCGAAGACCTGCTTCGCGTCTACTAAATATATGCCTGGCTATCTTGTTCACTAAATTACCAGTGGAGGAATGAAACATTCAAGTAACTTTCACTGTAGCTGCATTTCACAAATTGCAGTTTCACTTATGAGTCATACGCTGGAAGGCGGCCAGCATATTGCGTTAACCGGCGTGCTTCAGCACTTGACCTTCGTTTTTTTAAACATGACCTCCAAGATATTCTGCAGCAGCGTGCTACCGGAACAGATCATGGAGATCATAGTATAAAAGGAAGCGATCGAAAATCTAGAACGACATGTATTGACAAACGTATAAATGATGGGTTAGTTTATTTCTAATGCACTAGCGCATGAATAAATTAGTAAAATAACTGATCTATTTATTGGTATACGAACGCATCAAAAAGCGTTGGCGGCTTCACGGCATTGCATCTGAGTTAGGAAACGTGTATGCTTTACTGTGACCTACAAAGTTTATGATTGATGAAATGTACTAAAGTTGTGTAGTGCACCTCGGTGGAACAAGAACTACGGTACTCGGCTTCTGGCCCAATGGTTCGGGTTCAATGCGGCAGTGACGGTCGCATCTTGGATGGAAGGCGAAAAAGGTCTAGGCCGTGCTGCTGTGCCGACGTGAGTGACATGTGATAGGAGCCCCCGCGATCAAACTTTCGGAAGCCCCCTCCAATGCGACGTCTCCGGAGCATCACATCGTGTTTTCTGTGACAATAAAACCAACAGGATATTTTTGCAGTTTAAAGTTTTGCAGGCAAATACGACTGATGTGCCTCATTTTTAACGTTCCTTCAAGTATGTGGATCGAAAGATTGGATTGTTCAATGCTGTATAGGCTCATTGTGCCATATGTACTTTGATTGCCTTTAGCACGAATGTTTGGCCTTGCGAAACGAGATTGCAGAGAATGTTCTAGTGTGGAAAGATTTCGCGAAGTA